ACAATCTCCAGCACACTTAAAAGACGGTTATCCTGGAGATTATCCTCAAGTAGTCATCTGCTTTTAGTTCTGGGTGATCTTAACTTCTGCTCCCATAACTAATGGTATGGGATAAACACTGACAGTTCCTCAGTTAAGCTAAAGTAATGACATTTCTTTCATTTTAACAAGTCTTCAACATGGCAGCACACAGGGTGAAACTTCTATAATACTGCACTAAGTATCTCAAACTTTCTAAACTCTGAGGTTTATTAGAATATTTACTTGGTTTTGTTGAAGGTATCCAAACTATTTCACTAAAATAAATCTTATTTTTCCTTTCATTCGTAATGAAAATTTCTGTGGTAGAAAAATCATGAATGAAAGGCTCGGGTGTTATAGGTTTGTTATATTTATTTGGAATCCAAAAATTAAAAATGAGTGTTTTGTAGACAGGTTCTAGACTCACTATGTAGTACAGTATGGCTTAAACCTGTGGTAATCCCCCTGGCTCAGCCGCCATAATGTTAGAGAAGGAGCCAAGGGCCATAGCTCAGTGACACAAGCACGTGCCTGGCAAGAGCAAGGTGTTGAGTTTGGGTGTGGTGGTGCATGCCTAGAATCCCAGCACTCAGAAGGCTAAGGCAGGAGGATCGCTTTCAGTTCAAGACCAGCCAGTGCTACAAAGTGAGCTCAAGGCCAGCCTGAACTTCATAGTGAGACCCTGTCTCAAAAGACAAAAGGAAGAAAGAAGACTCCACACTGTTCTCACCATGAGATTCATCAAATTGTGACCAACTCTTTGAAAGCTGGGTAGCAGGGAACACTCCAAATGAGACAAAAGAGTACTCTACTTTATGAACTTTAATCTCCTACCCCTTTTACCTAGATCATGATTATGATTCTATATACACGTTATTATAACTCTTTTTGAATCTATTTTATAAAGAGAAAATTAATCAAGATAATTTGAAATTTCTTCTGGGTCAAAAATTCTCAAATGCCTTTTGAACATCCTGGCTATATATGTTTTAATTTAAAAATTTTGTGGCATTTTACAATTAGAAATTAATCTGTTTTTCAGACGATGGAGGCAACAAATGCTGGCAAACTATTTTCTAGTGCATGTCTGGTGGACGTGGGAAACAGCATAAAAGAATTACGCTACTGCGCAGCCTGGGCCGACAAGATCCAGGGCCGCACCATACCTGTGGGTGAGGAGCATGGGGAGACCTCCGGGGTGGGAGGGCTGAGGAGATTACTGCAGAGCTGAGTGACTTCAAATGCCTGCTCTTGAAGATGCCAGCCATGCAGAGCCAGATTATTTTTGCCTGACTTTAGGCCAACACAGCTCTAAACTAGGACATTCTGCGATGACTTAGAAAATGGCCTCTAAAGTAGTTTTAGCGTAGTAAGGCAGAAGAGAACACCATGGGCCTACCAGAAATTGTTGTTGTTTCGTTTTGTTTTGTTTTGGTATTTTAGAGATCGTTGAAGTAGGATCATTCTTAAGACTGCAGTTACTGATTTGCAGCAACTATCCACGGGGCCAAACTGCTCATAGCTGGCCTCTGATAATAATTATTTGGGTTTCATTGCCATAGCGACATTTATAACCTTTTGTAAAGTAATTATTTAGGTCTCTTGGTCTGCTCCCCTATGGGGCACCTATGGTGATCTGAGCCTATTTGACTTCAGTACAGCTAGACCACGGTAATTAAGCAAACTAATTCATATCAATTGGTTTCAAATAGCTTCAAAATGACATAAGGCTAAGAATTTGTGTCTGTAGATGTGCATGTTTGTGTTATTTGGTGGTACATGCATTTCACAAAATAGAAATATGAAAGGCATTTCATCTCAAAAAAGCCTCAGTTGGGGAAATAGGGTAGAATTTTCCTCCTAGAAATATGTTAACTTTAGGAATAAAACACACTTCACAGACTGGCCCTCATGCGAGGGTCTAATCTAACTGGGGTGTCTGGTAGGATAAAGTGAGAGGGAGTTAAAGAAGATGAACAAGACCACAGTGCTATGAAGAAATGTGGCCTTTAGTGCCTGTCTTGGTTTGCCCTCAAAGTGGGAAAAGCCTTTGCAGTACCTGTGAATGTTTAGAAGGATGGGCCTTGCTGTGACAGTCAGGGGCTCCCCTGGGGACTGAAATAGAACTAAGCACAAAGAGCTAAGATATCTGTGAATTTCCGCATTAGATTCTGAGGCACGTTAATCACTCAGCTCTAGATGGAAGAGAGTTGTCCTTCACGTTGGCCACTTTTTGCAAGTCAAGAGACTTGGCTTTTGGTTTAGTAAGGAGAGGAAAACAACACCTTGGTGTAAGTTGATAAAATGGCTTATTCCTTCCAGAGTGACAGTTGTAATTTTTCTATTTTAAAAATATTACTACTTTTTCAAAAGCATCAAATTACTGGTAAACTTCGAGCTGCTAAATGCATTTAAATATGGCTTCTTTTAGCCAGATATGACCCTTCATCCTTCCTCTTGTTTTTCTACAAAACTTTGAGGATAATAATGTAGGAAACATTCTCCTTGGTGTTGAACCATAGAATTCATCATCTTCCAAATACTACTTCATGTTGCATTATGCTTTTGTTTTACTCGATTTTATAGTTTCATTCATTCTGGACTATTAGTGGAGGGCTCAAATTTCTTCTTTTTAAGTTATTTAATACTTGCCGTTCTTTTCATTACTTAAATTCCTGTTTCTATCTTCCTCTTACATAAATTTCCAAACTCCATCTGCCAAAGGTCAAGGGCACTAGTTCTCTGTAGATCGGTTGTACGATTTGTTTTCCAGATGGAAGCTTCTTCACCTACACAAGACGTGAACCTATCGGAGTGTGCGGCCAAATCATTCCTGTAAGTTGCTCTCCTGTATACTGTTTTTGAAAAGAAATACAATTTAAATTAATCCTCTTTAATTTGGTGACAAAGATTTCTATAACACAAATAAATCTCAACCTGAAGACTTATTAAAATTAGGCTTCCTAGGAGTGGATTTCTGGGATATACTGTAGAAAATGCCCAAATCTACTTATGTCCCAACATATCTCTTAAGTGAGTTTCAATGTTCCTGCATTAAGAAAACTCAACCTCTTACTCTATGGGTTGTTTTCAAAAACTTGTGTTCTGCACTGCTATTAAGAGCTGTGCTTGATGGGCATGTGACAGAGAAGACCGTGGACTCCTCTGCTTGGGCTAACCCTTCAGTGGAATGTGGCTCCTACTCTCCACCACTGTCTCTTCCAAGACTTCTCAGCAGAGACTAGTGTAGCAGTGAAAGTGTTCAAATCCTGAAAGATGTTTTTGTATTTCTTCATTGGTGCATGTTGGCAGTGCACAATGATTGCACGCCTTGAGATGAGTGGGTACCTACTCATAGCACATCTTTGTTTTTTTTCATCCCCTCCTCTTCTTCTCCCTCCCCTATGCCCATCTCTTGGTCTTCTTTTCTTTTGCAAAAGATTGATCTATCTATTTTAATCTGCCTTTTATTTTTCTTTAATATATTATATCTTGAGTTTCTCGTGTAAGGGAAGCCATGAGATACTTAATCGTGTGTGTCAGGTCTACTACACTTAACATTAAGGTCTGAAAGTGCATTCCTTTTCCTATGACTCCAAGGTATCCTTCTACATGTCAGAGCAGGGGTCTGATATATAAATACATTTTCTTATTCATGTACAAATAGGCCACACCATAGGTTTGGAAGAGTTGTGCTGCAATACTTATATAAATGCATTTATCATTATAATATGATGTCTTTAACTCAGGAAGATTCTTAAGAGAGGAATACTTGGGTCAAATGGAATTTCTACTTTTAGTATTTTGAGAAATCTCCATATTGATTTCCATAATGATTATTCCAGTTTATTTTCACACAGATAATTTAGAGGGACTCATTTTTCCATAGTTGTACCAGAATTTATTATTATTTAATTTCCTGGTGACAGCCATTGTTTCTGGAATAAGGTAGATTCTCTGTGTTGTTCAAACCTTTATGCTCTTCTCTAATGGAAGGTGATGTGGAACACTTTTTATGCATTTATCAGTTACTTGTACTATGAAAAGTGTCTTCCTTTCAGTTGCCCATTTTTTGAGTGGATTTTTTAGGATGTTCTTTTTAAATACTTCTTTATTATATGGTTTAGTCCTCTGGAAAGTAGCTGACAAAAATGTTTTCCCTTAGGTACATTGTTGTTTAGCTCTGTTTTTTCCTTTGTGGTGAGCTGTTTAATTTGATACAATGCCATTTTTTTAAATCCCCGATTCTATCTCTTGTGTAGCTGGCATTTCTGTTCAGAGAGTCCACCTCAATGCCTATGCCTTAAAGAGTTTTACCTACTTTATCTTTCAATAGATTGTTTCTATTTTTACATTCATGATCCATTTTGATTTTAGTTTAGAGCATGGATACAAACATATTTTCTGCTTCAATCTTCTGCATGTAGATAGTTGATTTTCCGAAGATTATTTGGTAAAGGGCTCTCTTTTCTCCAAATTATATTATTGACTCCCTTGTCAAAGATCAGATTCCTAAATGTGTATTGTATAAGTCAGCATTCTCTATTGTGTTTCATTAATCCACATGTCTGTTGTCATGTCAGTACCACATGTTTCTATCACTGTAGTTTTGTACGAACTTGAAGCATCAAAGGCTTGTGATGACCTGTGTTTTACTCTTGTTGCCCAGGATTCTTTTGCTCTTCTTTGTCTCATCTATTTCCATAAGAATTTTATGATTATTTTCTCTTGGTCTTGAGGAATGCCAATAATATTATCATTGAGTTTTCTAAAATTTAAACAAAATAGTAAATTTACATTACATAGATGCATCTGGAACACTGGGAAGAATATATTATATCTTCAGACAAGAGACTATGATAGTTGAAATTCTCCTATGAAAAACATGACATTTTCAGTTAAAATTTGCGAGGTTTCTTCTTTGCCTAACGAAAATGATACAGTTTGAATATAGCTGAAATGCAAGAAAAGTCAAACTTTGAAGTG